TTTCCCAGGGTGTCTGTGTGTGCAGGCAGGAGAACCACGAGCTCTGTGGCTTGTTTTGGCAGCCAGCTTCCTCCCTTGCCCGGGTGCTCTGGTGGTCACACGGTGTGCTGGAGCTGTGCTGGACACTGCCTGGACCTGCCAGGAGGGAGCCTCCTGCCAGCCCCCTGCCTCTGCTCAGCTGACAGGCAAGTGAAGCAGAAGGGACTTGGCAGATGATCTTCAGGAGATGCCAGTGAGTTCAGTTCTTAGAATTCTTCTGGGATATGTAAGATCCATGTCCAGGCAATAATATTGTTCTGTAAATGGAAGGTGTGGTTCTGTTACCTGGAAAGGCACTTACGATTAAAAAAAGTGCTTTTTAAAAGTACCTTTAATATGCCTAATTCAAAATTCCCTTGCACACTTCTCTGACAAGAAGTGGAAAACAGGATTTGGTGTAGATAATGCCAAAATTAAAAAAATAAATAAAATAGTCATGACTGCAGGTTGAAGAAAATCTTCTCTGAAGTGTCTAGAGCACAAGTCTGCTGAGAAGCACCTGAGGGAACCCAGGTTGTTTTCCTGGAGCAAAGGAGGCTCAGGGGAGACCTTCTGGCTCTGCACAGCTCCTGACAGGAGGCTGGAACAGGCTGCCCAGGGCAGTGCTGGAGTCCCCCTTTTTTTTTAAATACTATTTTTCAGCTGTAAAATTGATTGAACATTTTTTTTAGTAGTATGTTTAGGTAAACCCTGTGTTTGGCATCCCTATTCTCTAGAGAACAGAAGCAATCCTTACAAATAAAATCATAACTGTTTTAAATAATTTAAGTCATTTACAAATTGAGTGAAATGTTAACAATTGATACTAGTGCCCCAGGAATGATTTTCATTTTTTTCCCAGAAAAAAAGCTGAAATGAATTAAGATTGCCAAGTTTTCTCTAAAAAGCCAGATTGTAAAGATCTCATTTTCTCTTAAGTGAGTTTATCTTGCTCAACTGGTTTATTTTCTGCCAGGTCAGTCACCTGCTCTGCCTCCCCGCGGGATTCCGGGGGGAGTCTGGTAGAGACAGAGGGTGGAGCAGGATCATTACTGCTCACAATAGTGCACAGAGCAGATCCAGGTGGCCCTCTGGTTGCACAACATCTTGAGGCTGCTAAAACTTGGCTTTTGCAAAGAAATGTGGTGGTGGATTTGTGCATTTGTTTGGGTTATTTTTTAATAATTGCCACTAGATCAAAATTAGGTTATAGTCTAGAGACACAAAAATCCAGCAAAGGTACTTAGATTCTTCGTCAGAGGCAGGTAAATTTGTACGTGTTTGAGACTTAGATGGAATGATAATGTCCTCCCATGCATCCTAAGAAATAACATGCTATGTGACTAGGAGAAAAGTCTTTGAAGCCTTTAGACTCACAGAACCCATATGAGTGAAGTGCCAGGCAGCACCTCTTTTGATTCACCTGCTAGGTTTGTGAGCTGAGCTGCTGGTTTTGGCGTCTTAGCCCAGTTCATTAGCTGTTACTAGGAGAGCACTTCTCTCCTTCTAGATCATTTTCTGGCATTGAAACTTAAAATACCCTTTTTGCATCTGTTCACGTTGTCATCAGTTTTTCTGTTTTACAGTAGCTGTTTTAGTTGTCCTTGTTAGTGGTTACTGAGGTGTGACTTTGCTGTCCCCCTGGTCTGGGGGGATTTGAAGTGTCACCCCTGTGCTTATCTTAGTCATCCTGTGTGAGGTAACACGCTTGGTCTAGTGACAGGTGTCATCTAGAATTTGAAACCCACTTTTAAATTTCTCTACTGCCATATGGGATTATCAAAGAGTTCCCTGTGAGGGTGGCTAGTGGTCTGGCATTGGTGTTTTCAGGGTACACAGGTTTGGTTTCCACTTTGCTTTACTCTCAGAGGTGGAAGGCAGTGTGTGGTCTGAAGTTTCAGTACGTAGTTGTCCTTTACTGGAGGACTGCTAGCCATTTGGCTAGCTTCAGGCTGGGAGCCAGGTTAGGGAGCCAAGAGCCTCCTCTGAGAGCTCTTCCTTCAAATACAGATCAGCAGCAAAGAAAGAAGTGTCTTGTGTACACACATTTCTGCAAAACCTACTCAAAATGTTGAAGCTATAATAGCTCAGAAGTCTGAAAGTAGTAGCAAGACAAAGCTCATGAAAAGATTTTTTTGTTAGTTGAAAGTGATGAGAAGGTTTTGAGAGAACAGTCACGTTTAGTGAATTGTATGGATTTAGTGTATCGTGTGCTGGCTTTGCTGTAAAGTTTTGGTACTTTAGTCCTCAAAAATGAGGGCAACAGTGAAGGACTTCAGAGTTTTTCTCCTCTGGAATTAGGACAGCGTATGAAGTGGCAGTTGCAAAGAAATGTCCATCTTCATAGCTGATAGTAAACCATCCCTAGGTTTGTTCCACTTGGAATGCATTAGGTAAAAATGGCTTCGTTATATTCTGGATTGACAAGTACTAATTCAGTCGTGGCATAAGCCAGAAGCAATCCTGCTCAGAGCTGTGTTGCTCTGAAGGTGCTGTGGTAAAGATGCAGCCAGTGATGGTGACAGGAGCTGTCGGTGTGGAGCAGGAGCAGGGTGTGCTGTGCCTGCAGAAGCCTCCCTTAGCTGCTGCTGATGAGCACTGGCTGTGCAGGGCTGGCTCTGCTGCTGAAATTGGACACAGCTTTAACCCAACACTCCACCCAGCTGGTAGATCTTGGGGAGCGAAGCTTTCGGAGTCCCTTGCCAGCATTTTGGGACTCAGGCTTTGAAACGTTGGGTGGAAAGCTGACCAGTTTGGGTTGATGGAGCTTCGTGCAGGAAGTCAACAGCATGAGAAGGAAAATGCATGTTGTTTTCTGCATGGGTTGCACCCTGAGCCTGTGGTTAGGGGTTGCAGCTGGATTGTAAAGGGTCATCTTCATCAGTGCACAAGGAGGGGATCGTTCTGAGGAGTGTTTTAGGATACATGGGAATAGTAAGAGATGCTGGATCAAATAGATCATTGTTAATAGCATGCCATGATGGTAACTCTTGGTGAGACCTGAGCGCTTTTCCTGCTGCTCTGCAGTTAAAATACACTGACCAGGAGTGGTGTTGTGGGGACTGTCTGGAGGCTTGTCAGTCCCAAGTGGATTGTGTAGTACAAGTGCATGTTGTGTCCTTCAGCAGCAGCACACTTCAGTCTTGGACGTGGATGTTGCCTTTGTAGTCAGCATTTTCAATACTAACTAGAGCACTTCCTTTAGGAAACAGTTACTGCTGTCACCTTCAGTATTTGCCTTTCTAGGGTACAGGTTTCTTATGCTCAGAAAGGATATGAGATGTGCAAGTGTAGAAATTCCTTTGATGCTTTTTTCCTTGATTGGTTTCAATTCTGTTTCAAGGTTCTCCATTCATCTGGAAAGCAATCTTTTATGGAAATGTGGTTCAGGCTGGGTACTTTAAGTAAAACTAAAGCTTCTGCTTCTTGAGGAAAGCTTAACTGATTTTTTCTGTATCTCCATCTAAATTTTATAAATCATATGATGTTGGGGTTTTTTAATGGAGAAAATATAATTGGAAACACAGGGATGGCTTATAATAATTGATGTTGACTCTTGTAATGCCCTGGTAAATTAATTTGATTTCTTTAATGAGCATGAGTCCTAACGATCAAGTAGTTGAATACTCTGCTCTTGTTCAGAGGCAGGGCTAAATAAGTTGCTATTCTCAGCTAATTTAATTATTTACCTATTATAATAGAACTTGTACTAAGATCTGAAATATCAATGATAGTATCCTTTAAGCATTTGTAACAAGGGACACTTCAAAAATATAGATGACTTCGGCCATTTGCTACCTATAGGTATTACTTTCTGCTTGCAGAATACAGAATTTTTTAGTTTGTTTTTTTTAATACTCATAAGTGTCATTTAGCACTCATTTGATTGTCCGACCATACAAAAGGTGTATCAACCCAGGTACAGTTTGACAAAGAGAATTGGTGTCTTGGTTATCTGGAGTGCTGCTGAAGCCTTGACTTCAGAACCATGTCTGTCTGTTCCTGTTGGCTGAGTTCTTAGAAGGCACCTGCAGAAGTCTCCTTTGCTGTATCCAGAGGTTTTATTCAGCAACCCATGTAGACTCTAGGTCACCACCTACCCAAGGGAATTCATCTGTGGGTCAGCAGCAGAACACATCTGCTGTCTTTGCCAACAGGTCTGCGCTAGTTAGGGATATTAGGGCTCACAAAATTAATGAAGAAATAAAAGCGTTTTCTTCTGAGGCTGTCAGGCTCAGGGAGGAGCTGCCAGAGGGACACAGAATTCAGTGATTGTTAGGACATCGTGTATGACACCTTTTCTTTTTGCTAAACCTTACCTGCTGAAGCAGCATCGATTGAAAAGAAATGCAGATGTGTGAAATGGCTTTTTGTAGGAGGGAAGAGGTAAATACTGGAGTGTTTTGTGGGGGGGAGCCTTTCTGAAAGCCTCTTAAACACTGGATGAAAGGCACAGCAGAGAAAGAACTCATGTTTAAAATGCAAATGTGGAAAGTGTTCTTGAGGCTGCCATTGATTGGTTTCTACTACCCCTTTTTTTTTCCTCTCCTGTGTTTTCTTACCTCAGTGTAGTGACTGATTATCATGCTAGCCACTCTAATGACAGCAGACTGACTGTGTTGGAGCTGTAGTGTCAGTTCCTGGCTGTGGCAGAGGGGTGGAAAAAGCCACAGCTCGATGTTGACGTGTGTGAGTCTGTGAAAATCCTGCTTGCCAACGTTACCTGAGGAACAATGATTCTTTCAGCAATTTTCTGGTCTTGATAACTCGTTGACTTCTGATAGGTTACCGCTCTTAGGCTGTTAGTATTTTTTAAAATACTTTTCTTGATTTTGTTCATGTGTCTTTATATAGAAGAATCTTTACAGTCAACATGTGTTTCTAGATGCTGTATTGAAATTGCTGGCAGAGTCTATTTTTCTATACAAACTGAACAATCTGGCCCCTTGTTTTATTTATAAAGGTTCAATGTATCTTTGCCTGCCTACATCAATCTGCAAGGGAGTGTCAGAAAGGCCCCGCATTCGCCGAGCCGTGAGTTATCAATAACTTTTCAGATGTGTTAATGAATGTGGAACAAACGCAGTGATGTGTTTAAAAAAAATGGATCCACCTCCTAAAAAAATAATAAAAAAAAAAAGAAAAACTCTTTACTGCAGTAGCAGGCATGGTTATAAGGGGATTGCTCTAAATTTTTAGACGTGTAAGTATAACTAAGCAGTAAGGTTGCCCTGGAAAACCTATTGTTGAACTGCTTTGAAGCTCTTTAGCCTGTGGGTTACAGGTTTTAAATGTTGTGTCCCACAGGCAAATTAAGCATGTGGTGTTTTTGGGAACTTTTATTTGTTTAATAATCTGAAGCTTGGCCCATCTGAAAATGTTATATATTAGCATCCTATGCATAGGACTGGTACTGTAAAATCTGGTTATGTAATAGTAAGAAAAACTTGACTAATAACATCTGGGTTTTTTTACTCCCCTGTGTTGTAGTTACCTCAGTAATGAATTTGGCTTCTTGAATTGTTTAATGGATGAAAAATTCAGTGTTTGAGGTCATGAAGCCAAAAAAAAACCCAAACTTTTTAACTGTCAAATGTATGTACACTCTTTAAAATGTCTGATGAAATGGAAGAGGCTGCTAACTGAACTCATTGATTTGCCAGTTTTTAATTCCAGCAGCCTTCCTTGCTTCAGTAATTCACCAGTAGGTTTTCAACAATTAAGAGATCTTAAAGTTATGTTTTAAAAAACAAAACAACATCCTGAGAGATGGTGTTTTATCATGCCTGTGCCTTAACACCAGGAGAGCCACAGCAGTGAACTCTCCCAAATCTCAAACAGTGATGATTGTGTTATGACTTGAAGGAAAGCGAATTCCCACCCTCACCCCAAAATACCAGCTGGTTGCATTATTCTGAAGACTTCAGGTCTTGCTCCGGGATGGGGTGATTTAAACTGGCATTTGGACTCAGGCTGTGGGCGGCTTGATGCTTCTGCTGATGCAGGAACTACAACCTGCCACCAGGAAGATACAATGTCAGATGTTCCCAGCCCAACAAACAGCATATAGAAAAGAGAAAAAAAGAAAAAAAAAAAAAGGCTTATGATACAGAGATATGCAAACATCTGTAAAATAATTTTGCATACAGGCTATGTCCATATGCTTGACGGACTTCTCAGGTTTGTAAGCATTTGAAATCATTCTTCTGCCAACTCTTCATGCTGCTCCCATCAGAAGTAAAAGGGTGCACTGCATCCAAGAGCAAAATCATAAAATGAGTATCAGGTGGGATTTGGTGAAGACTCAAAGTGTTGCATTTTGTGTTTACGAGGCTGCTTTTATATGCTAATTGTCACATAGAAACACCTCACTCTTTCATGCCCAACCCAAGCAGAACGTTACTAGCTCGTTAACGAGTGCTGTCCTAGCAGAGGGGTTTTGAGCTAATGCTGTCTTTCTGGTTTCAAGCACTTCTCACGCTGCATTTTTGCAGGGGAAGCGTGAGATGATTTTTAAATAGCATTATAAAGCATTAAAGCACTTATTGGTGTTACTTGGCAAAGAAGCACACAGTGTTTTAAGCTCTAGTCTCCCTAGACCTTCACCCTGTGACAGGGCAGTGTTAACGCTTTGCATGTAACCTGCAGGACCTGTCTGGTGTCCCCAGGTTTCTAACCTGCCATGTGCTGGCTTCTCTATTGCAGGTGACACGACCCGTCAGAGGATCAAGTTCAGTGATGACAGAGTGTGCAAGAGCCACCTCCTCAACTGCTGCCCTCATGATGTGCTCTCTGGAACCGTATGTAGAAAAGTCTTGTCCTTTATTTAGATAAGAATGGAGAAATTGAGTTATTTCTTTGTAGTATCTCTTGTTTTCAGCAAGTGTCTATAGTGCCCTCTGGCACTTCAGAGGAACTTTTATAAAAACTAACTTAGGGGTTATGAAGTTAATTTTTAAAAGTCTTCTGTTTTATATGCTAATTATTATTTAGAGTAAACGTTGTGTGCTATAACATAAAAGAATTTAAACAATACACCTTACCAACATGTATTGCACTATAACAAAGTGGTTTTAAGCTGGTACACTTGCAACTAGTAGAACAAAAAGAAATAAAATCTATGTATAAATTATGAAGTTATTTTCTTAAAAGATTATGTTGTAGTAAGGAAGTATCCTACATAATTGTATGGGGAGGAGACTTTTCTTTTTTTCAGAAATGCTTTACTGAAAACAGTTGAAAGTTCAATTACCTTTCTAGCTGAGATACACTCAGTATGTCTGACTTGTCATTATGATTAAAGGGCTTCAGGCATGCATGTGCACACTGATTTTGTTGGTTTTACTAATTTTGGTATTTGTACTGACAGACCAGCAGTTACAGTCCTTCTTTCTTAGGAGTCCTTGTAAAAGTAGACACAACTGTAATTGCTAAGAACCACAGGAAGAAGAGGCATGAGAACTAGTACAACTGAACTACAGAACTTAACACTTGTCTTAATAAAAAAGGCAACAGACTAGAAAGGGCCCATTTGTTATGCTGCTTAAGTCTTGTGGCTTCCTAAGTGGGTTCTTTCCCTCTCCTGTAAGACACTGTTTCCTTTTTCTTTTATATTGCAAAGTTCTGTCACACCACAAAAATCATATGTCTTGATCTCAGTGTGGTTGTTGGCATGTACTGAAGATAATTCATGCAGAAGGTCACACATCTTGCACCTAGTTCTTCACCTTCAAGTCATTCATGAATTGGTAACTGTGTTGTCTATCAAGACATGTAATTTTATTTTGAATGGTTCTGTGCATTACTGTCCAGACAAAATGGGGAAAAAGGCAGAAGAATGTGTTCCTCTTCACCCTTCTGTTATGTTGCCCAGTGTTTTGGTTATGTGATGAGCAAAATAGCTCATGGCTTGGGGAAGATATGGGATATAAGAGTACGCTATAAAACCATAGAGTCATCGGTCAGAATCCACAAGGAGATCCTTTTAAAAGATTAATTTGACAGCTTTTCATTGTGGTATAATTTCTGTAAGCAAAGATATGCAGAATGTCTTCAGCAAGTAAGAGGTGTTCATCAGACCAAGCATGTAGCTGGAGTCTGCTCACCCAGTTTGAGTCTGCACTGAGAGTTCTCATCTGTCTCATGCTGGGCTCTGCTGCTGCTCTTGGAGTACTAAACTAAACTGCTTGTTCAACAAGTATCAGCCTTTTTTTTTTTGTCCTTCCTCATAAAGCAGTTAGTCATTGTACCACAAAATGTATTCCATGATCTAATTCTGGTTCCAGGAAAACAATGGCTAGTTGATCTTTTTGGTGGGGGTAGTAGAAAGAGAACCATAAGAGTCAGGCATTATCTGCCTGTGGTATTCTGCTGGTTACCTAGGCATGGGTCTGAAGAAATGGACCTTCTCTTCCAATAGTGCAGGTTTAAAAAGGGTGAGAAGTGTGTAGCATGACCAAACAGCTTGCTGTTGATTTGGAAAATGTGGAGTTTTCTCCAGTTTTCATAGGAAAATTTTGATGCATCTTCACAGTTCAGATCTGTAGGTAACAAAGGTAGACAGACTTTTTAAAAAAAAAAATAAATTCAGATCCAGAGTCTTAGATTATAAAAGAATAAGTTCTCTACTGACATTTTACAACATTAAATCTCTTCATTGACTAGATTATCAGTAAAATGTTGGACAGAGGTGTCTTGGTGCCTGCAGCAGACAATTTTTATGCCACTTTTTGGGGAAAGACAGGGAGAGTATGGGTTTGGATTTTTTGTGGTCTGCTTCTAAGTGCAACAGGAGTAACGAGCTACATGGAAGACACAGGTAGAATAGTGAGTCTCAGCAGAAAAAATGTAAACAAAGTTAAAATTGTAGCATCATCTTTCAGTTCATTAAATTCCAAATCTGTTGTGCCTCTGTCCTCATCTTTTTATTTGAAATACATTTTGGAGTCTGCGTGAGGCATGTAGTAAATTAATTGGCAAGATCACGGAAGTGTGTGTGTGTGTGTGTTCAAGGTTGTGGAACAGTGTCTGTTCAGAACCTACTTTTCACAATGCCTCTCACAAAAGCTATTCTATTTTTAAGTGACATTTTTTCATGTTTTGGTGCTCTGCTTTTCACTTGGGTACTGGTTCACTGGCATAAATCAGTGGTTTAAAGAGTTTGCTCATTCATTTCAAGCTGAGAATTTTATAATGAGAGGTTAATAAGGATTTGTAAATTCTGGCTGCTGAGACATTGAATAATTAACCACTTAAAGTTAGCAAATTTTGTTTAAAACATTTTGTCTTAAAGGGTTAACTCTCTTACATTTGTTTTTTTAGTCCTTAATAGCTGCTGATGGTCAGGCTTATGGGGGTTGTTGGTTGGTTTTTCCAACCCATGGCTCTTGAATTACTTTTCATCAGCATTACAAAAATGTTTGTTTATATTTATCCACATTAGGAGATTAGGACTGAAACTACATACATGGGAGTCAAATGACTCCCTGATAATGGTATGAATCTATTAAGCAACATTGTCTGTATTTGAGCTTTCTACTGTCTTTGGCAGGTCTTACAGGATGTATAAAAATGTGTTTTCTGTGTCTTTGTATTTTCTGAATCAATAGCTGAGTACTAATGAAAATTACAAGGTGGCAAGATTTAAAGCAAGCAAACTTTAATAAGGTTAAAAGTAGTATTGTCCTGAATATTTATAGTAACCCACTGCCTGTCTTTGAAGAGCCCAAGCAGTCCAACACTTCTGCAGCAGTCTGGCTTTCTCATTAGCTTGATTGTGCTTTCCTGTTGAAAATAAATCACAAATGTTGTATCTGGTCCTGCAAACCATGGTTGAGAAGCTCCTTTCTGCTCAGTGGATTAAATTTATATTGATGTGTGTTTGTTGGAGATCATTGGGGTCTGTATAAATAAAATGCAAGAAGCAGAGTGTGCTCTGTCAGCTCAGTCCTGGGCTTAAGAGGATCTTTAGGCACTCATGAATTTATTGCACTCAGTTCTTCAGGGTTGCTGCTGACTAAAACCCTATTGAGTGAGACCTTGGCTTGGCAGTATACTTTAATACATGATTAACTGTAAGCTCATTAGGGGTGGAATTCAGCTCTGGATTAAGATATCTAAATTTAGGCTTCAGCTGAGCAGCTGGGTGTGAAAGCTGTGCTGGAGTCAGGGGGGATCTAGGCAGTGCAGCCTGGAGAGTCCTGTCCCCTGCCACGGGGAGTTCCTCAGCAGGCTGAAGGGCTGCAGGCTCACTGGCTGTGCTGCCCAGTGCTCCTCTCACTGTGGAAGAGGAGTTGGGAGAGTTCACACATCTGCTGATAGGTGTTAGTGAGGTGTTTTAGTCTGGAGCTGATTTCTTTGCCAGCAGTGCCCTGGCTCAGGGGAACTGTTTCCTTGCTGAAACCCGTGGTGTGCCAGCTTGGTGATGTCCTGCAGCACTACAGACAGCAGGCATGCTGCTGGAGGGTGTCTCCCTGCAGGACTGATGTGATCATGTGAACTGCCTCAGCTTGACAAATCTAATTAAATTAGGCTTGCATAAGCTACCTCGATTTCTAGCCTTCAGCCCACTGGTGATTAATTGTGAAGTGCTTTGTTGTCCCAGCAAGTGATTGTTTCAGCTTCTTGAGACTCAATTCTTTGACCAGTGCCAGGAAAGTGAACTGATTGCACCATATTCTATTTTAATGAGTTGAATTCATCTTGAAAGGATTTTTTGTTGTTGCTACTCTATATATATAGAGTTAATATATTGCATAGTCAGGCTACAAGGGCAAATACTATGTAAACACTGAAATATCTCATTTAAAAATAAGAGACTGCTGCTAACTCTGAATTTTGGGGAAGGTGTAGTCTAAGGACTTGAAGCCTTCCAAAGTGAGAGTATGGTTAAGGGGAGAAGTATCTTTAACATATTAGACTTCTGAAGATATCTGGAAGTTTCAGTGGTTGCTAAGGACTTTAATAACTCAATTTCTGCTTCTTTTTAGCTCAGTATTTTTTTTTTCTGCTAGTGAAGTCCTACAGAAGTTAACCCCTACAAAAGTTAACCCCATTAGTGGAGCCAGAGCATTTAAACCATGGATTAATACAGCATGGAATGGTTTGGGTTGGAAGGGACTTCACAGGTCATCTAGTTCCCGCAGCCCTGCCATGAGCACGGAGACCTTCAGCTAGACCAGGTTGCTGAAAACGCCATCCAGCTTGGCTTGTGAACACTTCCAGAGAGGGGGAATCCACAACCGCTCTGGGCAACCTGTGCCAGTGTCTCACCACCCTTACAGCGAAGAACTTCTTCCCTGTATCTAATCTAAACCTACCCTATGTCAATTTAAAGCCATTACCCCTCGTACTATCACTGCACTCCCTGATAAGAGTCACTCCCCAGCTTTCCTGGAGGCTCCCATTAAGTACTGGCAGGTTGCTGGAAGTTTTCCCCACACCTTCCTTTCTCCAGTCTAAACAACCCCAGCTCTGTCAGCCTGTCTTCACACGGGAGATGTTCCATCCCTCTGATCATCTTTGTGCCCCTCCTCTGGAGTCACTCAAACAGATCCACGTCTCTCATATGCTGGGGACCCCAGAACTGAAAGCAGTACTCAGGTGGGGTCTCACCAGAGCAGAGGGGGAGAATTGCCTCCCTCAACCTGCTGGTCATGCTTCTTTGGTGTAGCCCAGGATATGATTTGCTTTCTGGGCTGTGAGTGCACGTTGCCAGGTTGTGTTTAGCCTCCTGTCAGCCAGCACCCCCAAGTCCTTCTCCTCAGTGCTGCTGCAGGCTCCACTTCTGAACATGTGTTGCCTACAAGAAAGGGCAGACTTTATCTAGAAATAGGTCTAGAAATCTGCCAGAAACAATATTGTTAATGCAGATGAACAGTGAATTCCATAATAAGGAAGATCTCAGGGAAGAGTCTGTGTAGCTTCTTTTCCTCAGTAACAGGGCTGTTCTCATACAGACTACAGTGGCTGCATTGACAGTTTGATAAAGGGAGAGAGATCTGGTCCATCCAGTATTTTTCAGTAACATCACATTTTTCTGACATTATTGAAAAAAATTTGATGACAAACAGAAAATCCTTGTGCTGAATGTGAACTGCTGTGGTGTAGCTGTCTTTCTTTATAGCTGGAAAGAATTCTCTGCAGAAACACTGCCTAGAGTATCTTCTTTCAAAACCTATCAAAGATATCTGCTGATTTTAAAAGCACTGGTAGCATTTGCTGCTGTGTCACACTTGGCTTAACATCAGCCCTCTGGTTTAAGTAGCTTTGGCTTTTCTTTTAAGTGCTCTTTTTTGCACTCCATATAGAGTACCCTCAGGAGTCTAATCCCTGGTGTCAAAGGAACATGTAGTAGTTGTGGAAGTGCCAAAACAGAAATTTTGTTGTAGGTAGCTCAAGATCAAAAAGAAAGCCCTCTTAATTTCATGTTCCAGAAGCAGCATCACATCATTTTAGTCTCTGCTTCAGTTGTCAGCTATGTGGAGTGATGGTTTATTTTGCAGATAAATTCTTCAGATTCTCTGTTGCTCAAGTCCTCAGCCATTCCTTGTCTATTCATACTTAGCTCATGGGATTCTCTTTTTCTTAATCCCTGGTTTGATTGAGGCAGAGCTGTGCATGATTTAAACTAAATGTACGTAATCCACATTTCTGCATTGCTACCAGGGGTACTCTATCCATTTTGTGGGTGGGATGGTAAAAATTTATTACTAAAATATTTCAACGTGAGGTTGTTCAGGATGAAAAACCAGATGTCTGAACCTCAGCTCTGGGAAATCTAGTATAGCTCTCATTGCCAGTCTAACCCTGAGGAGAGAACAAGCATTACAGACAATGGATAGTGAGTTGCTAGTAGAAGGACTAGTTACTTAAGCAGAACTCAGTGGTAGCAGGATTCCTGATACCCTGCTTTGCATGGGGTTGCCTAGATTTTCTAGGTTAATCTTCAGCAATACTTTCTCTTGTAAGAAAGATTCTCCAAATACATAGGGGTTTTCTCTGGTTTTAATCTTCAGTAAAAGAGCAGTGACTGCAACAAAGCCCCAAAGCATGGCTTCACATCCTCAATGAACTTCAGTTATGTCTAGCCTGGGAACTCGGATGTTCTCACCTTCCTTTATTTGCTTTACTCATCAGGCCAGCTCTGTAAATCACTTTAGTGTAAGTCTGTCTGGAAGTCAGTGCAGTGACAGTGGGAAACAGTTCGTGTGCATTCTTTTTAAGCCTTTGCTAGTAGCTCAGTGTCCAGACATCAGTCCCCCTCTTAGCCATCTCTTGTCTCAGATGTGATTGATATTGAAATGGCTGACTACCAGTGTTTGTTCTTGGCTTCTGGGGGAGGGCACCAAATCCCAAAGTGGACATGTAGAAAGTGAAAATCATGTCTTTTATCTTTTGTCCATTTCCAGTTGCTGTCCATCTCCTCTGCAGCTTGCCTTATGAGCTGCATTATAATACAGGCTCCTCTGTGCTTATTAAAGTCCTTGGCAATCCTGATCCAGTGAATACTTCTGACACTAATAAATCATCCCCAAGATTAATTGTCCTTACCTGATGTTTCATAACTTACATCAGCAAAAGTGCTTTTTAGCCTGATTTTGTACACAATAGGCAAACTGGTTTAAGAGTTTAATTTTTTGTGGTGTCTCTCTACATTGGGGTTTGCTAATCAAACTGTTAAGAAAGACACTTAGTACGTAGCACTTCAGAGGTGCTCTCAAAAGGATTAGCCAGGACTAGCACAGACTGTGTTAAGGAGTTCCAACCATGATACAATTTCTTGAGTAATAAAGCTAGTGAAAAAGAATCCATTTCTCTTGTACCTGATGCTTGTTCTTGCTCCATTATGCCATGGGAGTATTTATAAGGCTGCACCATGTTGCATCAAAGAGGGGAAAGGGAGTCAAAATTTCCTGTCCTCAGATGGAGGATTCCTTTGTGTTAGATGCCTCTATCACATCCTCCTCATCCCCAGCACTGCTGCTAATATTGCTGGAGTTGTTGGAGAGTTTCTGAAGTGGCATCTTGCTACTCTAAGAGTCAGTAGCTGCTCAAGTCCATTGCTGCATTGCTCCTACATCCTGTCATCACATCTGCTCGTGTGGCTGCCTGACCAGCTGGACAGAGGTGCACTGCTGAAAACCCTTCCGTTTATCAGGGTAAGGGATGAATTAGCATAAAGACAAGTTCACAATTTTAGGAGGCTTTTTAAGTGTCTGAGCTTCAGATAATTAAGTTCTTTCATACTGCTTCCCTGTTACTGAAGTGCTTTCCTGAGAGAATGCTGGGGTTTAAATAATGTCAGCATTTCAAGAGTTGGAAATAAACGTGTGATACATTGCTGAACTTCAAGGTCTTTGTGGATTTGCATTAGTTACCAAAACTGCTGAGGTCCTGTGTAGCTGCAGAAGGGAAAGCTCATCTTCTTCTTCAGCACTGCAATCAGATGTTCTCTGTTGCAATCAAGTGTTTTCCGGAAGGCAGATTTAGGGTGGCTGAAGGGGATGAAAATAACCACAGATTATCAGAAACTTCTCAAGTTCAAAATTCTGTACTTTAACAGTGTTTTTTTCTGTCTCACTTGAAATAAAACAACAACTTCTGTAAAAACTACTTTAAACACGTATGTGGTGATTTGACAAGTTGAAAGCAGTTAATGTTTGGGATTTTTTTACTATACTTCTAAGGTTTGAATTGCTATTTAAATGCAGGTATTTTGTTTATTAAAAAAAACCCACTTATTTGGCTCAGATCCAAATTACTTGCAGCAGTTTGAGTTAATACTCATCCTTAATTAATGATTTGTTTTGTAAATCATTTTAATTTTGGTTCTAAAATTTCTGTTAAACTACAACCATAACAGCTTTTTCCATCAGAGTTCAACTTTTGTCATGTGATTTCAGTGCTAAGAAAGGATTAATTTTGCTTAATATTAAGTGGCCAGTACCAAGAACAGACTTGACTGAAACTGCTGGTTTTGAGTGATGCAAATAATAACCAATGTCACTGACTGTACTTCAGCCTGTGCTTTTGTAGACAGAGTACTTTGGGTTTGTTCCATTTTGTTCCCATTACATACAGTTTCTGGGGGGTTGGTGTAGGTTGAGGATTTTTGGTCATATGCAAGTTGCTCTGTCTTGATCACCAAACAAAATTCCAGGGAGCAGATTGGATTAGAATTTCTTATGCTGCCTGGTATGCAAATTTCAATTTTAAAACAGTGTTTGTTACCTAATAATACTCAGGGCACTCTCCTCAGTGGTGTCGTATGCAAGGTTAGTGATGAAGCCTACATAAAGTTTATGCTTCCTTCCTAGAATGGTTTTAGATTACAAAAAAAATATCAGTACTTTTTTTCTTCCCTGATTCTTGAACATAGTCCAACACTCAGCTCATTAAAATCTGTTTATTGAAAGATTTGGTATTGTCTTATTCTTGCCCTTTCATTTCTGCAGGGGAGATTATTTACTTCATAATATTTGACTGTTAAAGAACATCATGCTGACTTCATTCCTTGTAACACTTGTGTGGAGTTACACCACTTCCCTTCTCTCTTTTCAGAGAATGGACCTTGGAGAATGCCTGAAGGTGCACGACCTGGCATTGAGGGCAGACTATGAAATAGCATCCAAAGATCAAGATTTCTTCTTTGAGCTTGATGTATGTATTCTGTCTTAGTGGTGGAGAGAAAGCAAAATTTGTGTACCTAGGTGGATAAACTGAGCAATAAAAGTGAAGTTTTGGTACATGCACAAGGGAGTTTAGATAGTGATTTGATAGAAGGAGGCAGAGAAGTGCATGGCACACTATGTAAATGCATGGTTCTTCATGCTTGTGTGTTTAGTCTGTGTTAGTAGTCATGTCTAGGTAAAACTGTGAAAATCCTTCCACCAAACAAAACCTGGATACTGTCCTAGCGTTGTTCAAATAGCAAGCAAACATTAAAGCTGTGTATTCTGCAGAGAGTCTTAAATTCTGTGCTTACTGAAGAAAGTAATTTTGTGTTAGGAATAACAAATGATACTCTGTGTTTCAGGACACCACAGTTTAAGTAATACAGCTATGAACTCCCAGCTAGGAATCTAGTGTTCACTAGAACAAAAAGGGTTGAGCTTTTTGTTGTTGTTTGGAGTGGTGGTATTAATAAGCTTAGTAGCTTAAAACCATGGTGAAAAAGACAAGTCTTAAAGATTCAGTTCCAATTTCTGCAGATACTTATCACAGTGTGTAGACTATGATTTTTTAAATGTGTGTTAATGTATGTGATTAGCCACCATAAATAACTAGATTACTGTTTTCAGAGGTTTCACTAATAACGTATAAAAGTTGTGTCTTCATAACTGTGAAAAGTGTTAAAGCTTACTGAAATATTTGTGTTCTTGACAGCACTGATCAGTGCTCTTGTTGATGTTTTAGGCAATGGACCACCTGCAGTCATTTATTGCAGACTGTGACAGGAGAACAGAAGTGGCTAAGAAAAGACTAGCAGAAACCCAAGAAGAGATCAGTGCTGAAGTTGCAGCTAAAGTAAGCATGTAAAACTAGTTACTGGAGTCTCTCTGAAGGTCTGTTCTTCTGAGGAGCCAACTTAAAGCTTTGGCAAGCTGTCCAATCTGAGAAGTCATACTGAGGACAGGGAAAAATAATACATTTTCTCTCTTCTTCCCAAAAGTGCCTTTAAACCACAGGAGCATTTAAAGCACCTCTTACATTTTTGAGCTCAGGATACTTGATTGTCTGTGATACCAAGCTTTACAAATATTAGTGATTCTTTCACATTTTGGTCAATAAAATTTGATGTTTTTCTCTAGATCTTTTAACTTTAAAAAGCTTACCATTTTTCTGCACATACTAGGAGGGATGGGTATACAAACACTGTAAGACTGTTGTATAGACAACAGAGTGAGTTACTGGAAGTTGCTCTGGAGTTGGTGCATAGGCTTGGTAACTCAGCCTTTCTGTGTTTTCACATGAGGCAACTTCTTTTTCACTTTTACTCAAAGAAGCTATCTCTGCCTGTTTCTCATCAATCTGTACTGATGATTTTGCATATAATAACCAGGTCAGATTGTTTTCCATAATTAAAAGCATCTCCTGTTAAGCATTTCCTTGTCTTTCAAGGCTGAAAGAGTTCATGAATTGAATGAAGAAATTGGGAAACTGCTGGCCAAAGTAGAACAGCTTGGAGCTGATGGGAACGTGGAAGAATCTCAAAAAGTGATGGATGAGGTGGAGAAGGCTCGTGTAAAGAAGAGAGAAGCAGAAGTAAGTTGATTGTGTAGGGCTTGGGGAGGGAGATGGCAGGGTCCAATACCAAATTGGTTGGTATCTGTGTAATATAAGATGTCTTATCTGCTAGCATTTCCCTAGTTAATTGCTTCATATAAAACTGAAGGATTTGCTTTGTGACATCCTGTACAGTTAGTTTCTACCTTTGAATACACTCCTAAACTCTTAAAATTATATCTACTCCCACGGGTGATGCCTTTATCTTGGTCTAGCTGTGTTGGCCAGTTCTGTCTGTGGACACCACAGCTGTGCCTGTGTTGGGCTCACTGACCACAGTCTCACAGCTCTTGCTGTGGTAACCCTGTTGTGCCTTTTGCTGTGCTCATGTGGCTTGTGCTGGAAACCTTCACTCAGGTGAATAATTGTCTTCACTGAAAGATAATTAGTCACTGGCTTGTGTATCAGGCAAGTCAAAACAGTCCTTGTTGTAATGGTCAGGTGGCAAAACTCACCCAGAGCTTTTCTGTATCATATCTCACCAAGAGACTGAAATTTGTAGAAGGAAGCATCTGCAGTTGTTTTAATGGTACCAGAGGGGTTGCTTGTCTGTCATCTGAGTATATGTAAATAAATTTTGCTCAGATAACATGTTTAATTAGTGTCTAAAATGTAGGTATTTCTCAGGAAACTACTGTTTGGCACTGGGTTCAGAATTAAAGTGGGTCTTGTATTTTCATGATAATGTTAACACAGTACCTGTAGTGTTAATGTGTATTCATTGTTCATCTTTCTAAGTAAAACATAAAAGTTGTTTAACTTTCTAAGTAGTGTGATCTTAAGTAAAGGTAATAATCACCCCACTTAGTTCACTTTTCAGAACCAATTGCTGATGTCCTGCTTTTAAATATGCTTTCAAATATCCAATCTTCAAAATAAGAAATGTGCCTGGTATCATAATGAGATGATTTCTGAATAGTGTGAATTAGCTGAAGTGTTATCTTTGTGTTTCTGTGCATTAAGTAACAGTTAGCAAATAGATTTTATTTTTTGCTTCCCCCTCAGGAAGTATACAGGAATTCCATGCCTGCTTCCAGCTTCCAGCAGCAGAAGCTCCGGGTCTGTGAGGTGTGCTCAGCTTATCTTGGCCTTCATGACAACGACCGGCGACTCGCTGACCACTTTGGGGGAAAGCTGCATTTAGGATTTATTGAAATAAGAGAGAAGCTTGAAGAACTCAGGGTAAATCATGCTTCTATCTGTGTGTGTTCCTACCTCACTGTTTGCCAGGCAACCTTAATAGAATATGTTTTTCCTGAGTGTGTGAATTTTTTTTATATTACTTTAAATTTTGAGATTTCATTAGCCTGCAAAACACTAAACAGTCTAATTTAATACCAGTTATCTGGATAATGTGATAAGATGGCCCCTTTTGCACTGAGGTGTATTAAAACACATGTCCAAAGTAACACATTTTGGGAGCAAAGAGTGCAATTCCACTTGTGAAATGGAGAACAGTGTTTTGAATGGCAGTGATGCTGAAACATTTAGCAGTCATAGGAGACAGCCAAATGAACTTTACTTTTAGCCAGGTGGTTGGCTAAAAGTAATAATGAGATTCTTGAAAATCCAAGAGTGTGTAGTGGGCCAAAGTGGATGATATTTATTAGGATAAAATGTTAATAGGGCTGGTGTTGAAATCCTCATTTTTGGTACTAATACATAAAGAGGATGATAACACATGGCAAAGTTTTCAAAAAAAGATCTACAGAAATGCTTGGACCTCAGCCTGCTGTATGATGAATGACTAAAACCCAATGTGTTTATTTTATCTGGATGAAGATCAGTATTTCTATAGGTACCAAAAGCCTAACAAGATTTCTAAAGTAATTTTTGAAGGCTTTTTAAGTTTAACTGACCATAGATAAATTAAGTTCCAACAAATATCCAAAGTCAGAATACAAAAAGATGTAGATCCTGATGTCAGGCTAGCCATTAAAACAATTGTTATAGGAGGTTGCATGTTCTCTGTAGCTTGAAGATTTGAAATCCAGTTGGAATATTATTCTAAACATTATCTTGACTAGAAATCATGTGCTGGAAGAAAGACTGACTGGAATTACATTCTAGACTTCTGGTCTAGAATAGGATGGATTTGGACACTGGTGCCATTTATGATCTTAATAGGCAAGTTATGAAGTTCAAGGCTCAATGAAGCATTTATCTGTGGAAATCACTAAAGACATGAGCTAAATGAATTGAAGCCCTAAAAGCAGAAAATGCTGCTACTGAGTTTGGGTAAATTGACTTGGTTTATATTCCATAATATTCCAGCTGCCTTGCATGGATACTGTGATTTACCCTTTGGAAAGCCCAACTCTCTGTTGACTGTATTAGCAGTTTAGGGTCCTAAATATAGAGAGGTGCTGTAACTCAAACCATGGCTGTCCAGCCCAGGTCATGTGTGCTTCCTGTCATCCTCCACCAAATCACACAGAGAGCCACTTCAACAAGAAACCTTCTTGTGGTTAAATTACTGGTGTTGTACAAGGAAGTATAGATATAATTTGACATGAAGGGTTGGAGTAACTGATTTACACCATTCAGAAAAAAATGCATGGATAATTAGTTCACATACCCAAAGCATCAATAAAATAAAATAAATACTTTTTTCGCTAACAAAAAAAGAAAACAATAACTATCCCCTCCTTCCTCAGAGCTCTCCTCAGAGATCTAATCAAGATGCTGCTGGGGCAATTCCACATCTCAGAAGAAGGTCTTTACAAAGAGTTGAATTTCTTGCATCATGTCCAGAAGGTGGCGAGACTTGGGTTTGGCCAGATCTCCAGTTGTGAGTTCCATATCTGAGGGCCCTCTACTGAGTGTGCCTTGTCCCCAGTAGTAGTGAGTTCAGCCTGGGGGCTATCAGCTGAAGCATCCTCTATAATTATATGTCTCATGTTCACAGTACAGAAAGAAGTAGCCTCAAAGCTAGGTATCAGCCCAACCAAGTCCTTTAAGACTTAAGGATTTCTTTGTGTCACAGCATAGATGAAGGAGCTGATACAGCAGTGAACTGTTCCAGTTTCTTTCTGCCTTTCGCCAGTGGCCAAAATATGATAGGGTTGTTATGGAAGTTCTCACATTAAAGGCATGTCTTACTGCTCTGAGTTTCCCTTTGTGGAAAACTTAATATAACTCTACACATTTCAGGTCTTGGTGTAACACCCTCTAGTTGCTGTAGCTCTTCTGCAGTAACTTCTGTTTCTTGGAGGAAAAAAAACTGCACATATATACTGAGGAAGAGAGAAGGAATAATGCACACAAGGGAAAGGGAAGATACGTGAGAGAGAGAATATTAACTGTGTAGATGATTTTTATAGCACCTTCATCTCAAATTTTGAAATGTAACTTAATGAATATCTTGCTTTGCTTTTAGAGGATTGTGGCTGACAAACAGGAGAAACGAAATCAGGAACGTCTGAAACGTAGAGAGGAGAGGGCAAGAGAAGAAAGGGAGAAACTAAGGAGGTAGGAGTCTATTTTAACTGCATAATGACTTATTTAAGTTCAGTGTGAGAACCATGATGTAGTTCATGCATATTTCTAAATTTTAGAATGGTGATAGTCTGCATTCCTTGGGAACTTACAAGGTGTGAGGATGAACTTCATGTCTAACTCTTAAAACCTGAATTAGTTCTCAGAAAGCCTTTTTAAAAGCTACAGATAGAAATGTCTGTGTTTGAACAAAGGGCCTTTAAATAATTTCCAGGTGTGTGCCTTGTTTTGAGGCCTGACAGGTGTGAGCTTACACACATGACTTTCTTTGTTATTAATTATATTTTTGATATGCTAGAAATTTTCCTTATTGGAATAAGTTGAACATGCAACTGAGGAAAGTAATTCCCTGTTCTTTTATGAAAAACTTGCTTCCAGACCTTGTGGGTCTGGAGTGGAAAGGAACCTGAACTGCAGTTCTCCTGACATGTTAACTTCAGAGGTTAACAATGTAAACTTCTGAAATCTGCCTGATAATAATGTGCCTGAAGTAAGGGGGTGCTGGCTTGAACTGTAAGCCTTTTCTGTGGGAGGGGTGGGAATCAAAAAGCAGATCAGATATTATTCTGGGTTTGTAGCATGGTGGTCTCAAAAATAAACAGACACACACCCCCAGCGAACACAGAAGAGTTGTCAGAGGGATGTGTTTCCTGATGTTAACATCAGATAAAAGGCCTCCAAATAATGGCTAGTAAAACAGGAAATACAGCAACAGGTCCACTACTCTGGTTTATTATTACTAAATTGTACTCTATTTGCTAATAAGATTATGGAAGAAAAATTGATTTACTATTTTCTATTTATTTCAGGTCCAGATCCCACAGCAAGCATGCCAAAAGGTATATAAATCTGCAGACAAGGAATACCATCAGTGAAGCCAGCGTTTCACAGCCTGGAACACCAGGAGTTTGTCTGGCACTTAGTTTGAGATGTTCCTTACAGACCAAGCATTCTGTTACATGGTCCTCTCTGTGTGTTTATACAGTATTTATCACCATGCTACTGAGCTTATACCTGGCCAAACTATTTTATGGCTACTGCAGTGCAACTTTTTGTCCCAAGTAATGCTTAGAACCCAGAGATTTGCTCTTTCTCAGAAGCTTGTGGTTAATATCTTCTGGTAAAAAGCCATGGTTTTAAAATCCTAAGCACCAGGTTAACTCTCAACAGATGACACAGTAGTGCAGGTTTTCTTCCTAAAGTACACAAGTGAAGGTCACCAGTGTATTCTTATTGAAAAGTGTTTTGTAAAAAGAAAAAAGGGAAAAAATCAATGAATTTGTTTAGTGTTTTAGAACCTTGCAAACTAGTTTTATTGTATGAGCTATGGGGAAGCTATAAGCCTGTTTTATCAGAACATTCTAACACAGATTCTGGCAGATGATCCCCATCACTGCGTCGCGAGGTTCTGTAGCTTTGCCCAGTAAAGACAGGATTCAGAAATTTTAGAAGTAGGGGCTTTTCCATGGGCTTAATTCCTTCCAGAAGCCCAGATGGCCTATGCTGTGACCATACAGTCATGAATTAACTGAGATTGACTGCATTGGTCACAGAGGCATTTGCAGGATTTGCAGTGTTACTCTTCCCTCTCCTTTGGGACAGCACGCTGGCGCTGGGGCTGCTGGCCGGGTGGAGGGGCTGGGCAGGGGAGCCGGGCAGAGGGGCTGGGCACGGGAGCTGTGCGGAGGGGCTTGGCCAGGGGGGCTGTGCAGGG